TCCTCCTCCTCCTTCTAAGGCAGAGAAGAAACAGCTGGAAGGAGACACAATTGTGGTAGATGAAGCTTCATAACACCTTATAATGCAGGAGGGAGAGAGGGGGCATAGCTGATCTATGAGAGGAAAATTGCTTGGAAGAGACTGGAGTGGCTGACAGCCACAGAGAGAGCTGATAGTAATTATTATTATATTTATTTATTTATACACCGCACATCTGGCTGGGTTTCCCCAGCCACTCTGGGTGGCTTCCAACAAAGGTGTGTCGTATCTGTAAGTGTTGCTTCTCTGCATCCTTACCTGGCAAGCTGACTGAAAGCAGGCTGGTGCAACCTGGGAGCTGTAGAAGGGAGCCCTCTGACTGCCTGAAGCAGGGGCGGACTTGGGTAATCTTTCATAATATGGTCCCCTGTGCAAGCCCAAAATCTGGCACCCCCAAATGGATCTTTTCTGTTTTGGACCTTGAGGCCCTGTGCAGGGAAACTGCCTGTGCTGCCCTAAATCTGGCCCTGCCTGAAGGGGGTAAGCATGGCCACAGGGCTTCTTCAGCAGAGTCCTCTGCCTCAACTCCCACTTGTAGAAAGGAAGAGCCAGGTGGAGGAAGCCAGGAGGGAAGGAACAGCTGGACTCTATTTGCTGGATGTCAAAGTGCTCTTGTGTGGGACCACTGGCTATCTCGTGGATGGACTGTCTAAAACCCCAGTTCAGGAAGGCTGCAGCTCTTAACTCCTCATAAAAGCTGTGAATTTAATGTCACGGCTAAAATGGCTGCTGTTTCTTTAATGCGAATAAAGCTAGGTCAGCATGAGTCAGCTGCCTGCACTGAGTTGTATATATAGAGTGAGAAATGTTAGTTTGTTGCTGAGGCTGGGCTGGGTTGGTTGGTTGGTTGGTTGGTTGGTTGGTTAATGAAAGCTGGTAGTGGTGATATGTGTATAGATGGTCAGTCGCTTTTGCACAAAGACTTTTAAGAATAAAAGCAGAAAGCACTCTGCAAGGATATTCTTGTGGACTCTTTGATGCTGACAAGGGTCCGAGGACCAGGCTGAGGAGACAAAGGGAGGTCAGAACCCTTTCCTTCTTTTTTTGCTTTTTACAAACACTGACATTTAACACCCCACTGGCTGTGGCTATTTGTGCAAAGGAAGACGAGGACTGGGAGGCTGGACACAGAGGCCTTCAGGTGTACCCCTGCCCATGGAAACCCAACAAGGTCATCATGCAATGTCAGCCCAAGAAGGCCTCTGTGGCTGTTCCATCCTAGGATTGTGATGGAATTTACGAGAGGTGTCCATCCACCTCAGTCCTGATTCTTCAAGAAGAGGAATCCCACATAGGATGTCAGTTCTCTAGCCCACAGAAACCTAAAGCACTGACAAGGTGGAATTTTGGCATTTGGGACAAGATCACCCTCAAGCAGCTTCTGGTTGGGGAAAGAAAATTTCTAATGGTAGCTAGTTAGGGATCTATGCTTATCAAAAGCAAATTGATCAAACTAACCTCACAACTATGCCTGACCAAAGTAATGTAAAATAGTGTTATGTCTGGAAAAGGGAAGGGTTTAGAATTTTTAGCCATATCAGTCCTTTGGCATTTTTGAATCTGAAATCAAAATGTTATGATGTTTCACACAGAAATGAAAACTAGAGACAGATAAATGATATTCTCTCTCTCTCTCTCTCTCTCTCTCTCTCTCTCTCACACACACACACACACACACACACACACACCACATATTTTGGTACATAAAGCAACTGCTTTGTGGTAAAGACAGTTTTGAAATCTAGCATTGTAGCCACTGAAAACCACAGCACAATTTTGAATTAATTGAGTAGAGATGGTGGCTGTGGAATGAACAGAGCATCAGACAAGAGCATCAGACATATAGAGACTGCTGTGTGTATGATGGCTATAAAAACATATGCAGGTAAGCCAACATGTAACATTGTCTCTAAACTCTTCTTGTGACCTCTCAGATTTGGGAAGTTTTGACAATCCATGCGTGAGATGTCACTTTATTTTTCCGATAACAAACTTTATGATCGTATCAAGCTTTCAGACACCATCTTGATGGTTAATACTCCAAGAGTCTTACTGTTTGTATGTTTAGACACTCTTCTGTTTGACCTACTAATTCCGTGAAGTTTTGAGGTTGCGTTGAGTACAGTCTCAGGATGCACAGCCCTTCCCAAGGGATAATAACTGCATATCTTGCATCATAGAACCATCCATGCATCCTGACTGCACCCTCTTTTTCCAGCAGCAGGATAGTATCCTGGGATTACAATCAGGTTGCCTGACATGATTCATCTGCTGGGTCTGAAAAAAATTACAGTGACTTTTGTCTCTTTCTCCTTTACTGAAGTATCTTCCCTTTAGTGTTTCAGGGAAGATGCTTATCAGATGTAATGACACCAGTGGGAGACTCTTGAGAAGTTTCTCATGTGAAGAAACTAGATCTAGTTGATATTTTTTTCTAAATCTTATCCTCCAGCGCCAAAGTAATGTATTCTCCCCGCACTGACCATTATAAATTCCATTTTCCACCAGTTCTTTTTTAATCAAAGCAGAACTTGGTGAATTGCAAATATGAAGAGAAAAAACATTAAATGTAGAAAGGCCACCTTGCTCATATGTAATTTTTTTCAAAGTGACAGTTTGAAAATTACAAAGATAAATACTGTGCTAAATAGGGTTATAAAGGTGTGATTTATCTTTGCAGAACATCTTTTATTTTAAAAGGTGAGGGTAAGACATGGTGTCTGCATCCTTCTTCCATTGCAGAGCTGTGAGAAGGAAAAGCAGTGAAGCTTCGCAAGCCTTGGAAATTAGGGTGAATATATTTGGATGTTTCTTAGACTTTATAAGCTCTCTCACTCACTCACTCACTCACTCACTCACGCTCCTCTCTCCTAAGTGTATACCTTTTGTTACTGCCAATAGTTTGGTGAGTGAATCCACTCTTGTCAAACCATCTTCACTCCGATTGGACTCTTAAGCCGTTGCCAATTTGTCTCCAACCAAGTTGTTCAAAAGCCTTCTCTTTTACTGGAGGTGGTTCTACATGGGTGAGGTCAGTGTGGTGAGTACAGGATTGGAGCCTGCTACTTCCCAGGGCACATCCTGTAGGGTTCCAGCCTCGTACATATAACTCTAGCATGTTTGAATCTAATTATGAAGGGGGTTAAGCCATAGAGTAAAGCTGTCCTGCCAGGCTTAGCCTATGTCATCCCTTCCCACCTTGCCCAAGCTGCTGCAGGTCGTGGAGGATGTTCTCCTGGAGACACCTAGTTTAGTTGTCCTAGGGGATTTTAACATCCATGCTGACACGACCTTACAAGGGGCCACTCGGGACTTTGTGGAAAGCATGGCCTCCATGGGGCTGTCCCTGAATAAGTTTGGCCCAACTCATAGCTGTGGACATGCCTTAGACCTGGTGTTCACCTCTAGTGACGTGGGTGATCTGACACTAAGTAAAAGTGTGTGATGGCCGGGGAATCTGATTCAGAGGCTGAACCGGAGGAATCCCAGCCTGCACAGGAGTCCCCGCCTCCAGGGCCGGCTGAGCCGGGGCAGGGCCTTCAATCTGAAGCACCTGCACCTGTGCCGGATCCTCAGGAGCAGACACCAGATGGCTCTGGGGGTGATCGAGGACCCATTGCCTACAGGTGCGCCTCTCCCAGCCCTGTCAGGGGAAGGTGAGCCTCCCCCTGGGTCCAGTAACCCTCCAGCCTCTCCTGAGCTGCAGAGGCTCAGGGCAGAGAGGCAGAGGGAACTGGGTTCTCTCAGGAGGAGTGCTCGCCTTAAGGCCAGGAGAGGCGGGTCACCTGTGGGCCGGGACCGCCCCTGGCTTCAGAGAAGATAAAGGCCAGTCAGCCCGGTCCCAGGTTGCAGGAGCAACGTCGTTGGAAACCTGTTTCTGCCAGCACCCAGACCTGTTCTCCCAGAGTCCCCGACCTTTCCCGGCTCCTCACTTTGGACCCCGCTTCGCCCTTGGTGGACAGTCTCCAGACCCTCGACCAAGGACCGGACTCTGACCACGCCTCATGGTAACCTCCTCCCGGGACCAGCACAAAGTGAAACAAAAGAAGTGCCATGGTCGGTGGAATGGTTATGAGTTACTCGTGCGTAAACTGGTGCCTCTCTAGGCTAATTTGCCTTGTTAAACCTTTCTGACTGCACAGCCCTTTCTCATCGTGGCTGCCTCAGTCGCTGGCAGAATCCGTCAGTGGGCGTTTCTTGAACCTCTTCCAACATAAAAGTTGTTTGACACCCAGTCTCCTCCTCCTCTCACTGCGCGGGAGCCTTCTGCGCAGGGAGGGCGTGGGTAGCGGAGGACCTGTCCCCTCCTCACTGAGGTCCAGTGAAGAGTCCTGGAGCCCTCTCTCCGATTCCCCCATCTGCCCCCCTTTATCCCTGGTGTTGCGCTGATTTGCTCCCCCTCTACTGAGCTGTTTCTCCCCCTGCTGCTGGGTCCTTCGCCAGCATCATCTAGGAGCCTCCCCTTCGCCTCTCGCTCCGATGTCAGTTCCCTGACAGTCGGATTACTTCATGGTGCAACTGGACTTCTCCGCGACCCTTCCCCTTTGCAGGGAGGTGGGACCAATTCGGATGGTCTGCCCCCGCCACTTAATGGATCCAAATGGTTTCCAGAGAGTGGTAGGGGATGATTTATCCCACGTTGATGGCCTTTCAGCTGATTCCCTGGTGGCCCGCTGGAATGCGGAGATAACCAGGGCTATTGACTGTCTGGCTCCGAAGCACCCTCTCCGATTGCATGGAGCCCAGACAGCCCCATGGTTTACTCCAGAGCTGAGGGCGATGAAACAGTCGCTGAGACAGCTAGAGAGCCGGTGGTGGAAAACACATTCTGAATTGGACCAGACACCGGTTAGAGCCTGACTTGTGAGTCGAGGATCCGCCACACGCTTGAGGATAAGAAAGACACAAGGACACAGTATATTAGGTTAATGGGCTAAAAAAGGCCACAGCTTTATTGATTACAGCATGTGAGTGGTATTGGCTTAGGCATTGGATAAAACAACAGAGCGTGATTCCACCCCCCTCAGGAAGGGGTGAGTCTATCAAGGGTTAACCACCAATAGGAGAAGCCTGTTGATGCAAATACAACTGTAAACTCCCCCTGAGGAGGCTGTAAGGGTAAGGATTAGGGGTTAGGGGTTGGGATTAGGGTTAGGAGTTACAGATTAGGGGCCAAGATCAAGGGTCAAGGGATTTGGGGTTAGGCAAGGGGTTTGGGGGTAAGGGTTAGGGGTTAGGGTCAGGGGTCAAGGGATTTGGGGTTAGGCTTAGGCATTAGTGGTTAGGGTTTATGGTTAGGGGGTAGGGTTAGGGTTAGGTTAGGATTAAGGGATAGCGGGGTTAGGATTAAAGGGTTAGGGCTAGGGTTAGAGGTTAGGGGGTTAGGGTTTGGGGTGGGTTAGGGTTTAAGAATTAGGGCTAGGGATTAGGGTTAGGGTTAGGGTTCAGGGTTAGGGTTTAGGGTTAGAATTAACAATAAAAACAGCAGCAAACAAACCAATGGCAACAACAATACTACTGAGAGGGGCAGAAAGAAAAAAGATTGCACCCTAGATAAGAAGAGCCAGGACCCCCCCCCCTCCCCAAAAAGAAGCCCTGTACAGGAACTTTTGTTATGTTTGACGTTTTATTAGGCTTTTAGATTTGTTGGAACTTGGAAGCTGCCCATAGGTGTGGGACAATCCAGTCAGATGGGCAGGGTACAAATAATAAAATTATTTTTAAATGTTAGTGCAATTTTTCCTCCACCATTCTCCTTCCCTTGAGAGATTCCAATCCATCCAGCACAAGAAGCTCTGCAATCCAGATCATGTCCTGAGAAGCCCAAATTTATTTATTTATTTATTTATTTTTCTTTCATTTTCAAATTTTCAAACAATCATCAAGAAAAACCCAGATTTATTAGTTGGGACATGCTCTGGGAGCCCATGGAGCCAGGACCCACGTTAGACAGCCTTTGCACCTGCAGGCTCCCTTGGGGCGCAAGAGGAGACATGACGACATCACATAGGAAGCTTCAGCGAGGATCGCAGATAAACTGCCTCTGGCACTGGACGGTCCATCAAGCAGTAGCTGAGACCTGCCCAAAGATCTCTGCCGAATGAGGACAAAGGAAGCCACAGACAAGAACCCCTTTTCCCGAAGGGGGGCAGGGGGAGTGCATGGCCCAGGCAAGGAGCACCGAAAGGGCACAGGTTACTCCCCTGTTTGGGGGAATTCTGCTCCATGACAGATAACTACCTTTTTTAAAAAAAAGAAATAACATCTCAGATGTGGATTAAAAGGGCTGTGCTGGCTTTTCTTGCTGTCTGAGTCCCTGGGGCAAAGAAACATGCCTGACGCCTATAGTTTCTGCACCCCGCCTTGGGCAAAAGACGCCTGCCTTGTAGCAGGTAGAACTAGATGACCCTCGTGACCCATCCCAACCATTCTATCATTCTTTTTCCTGGTTTTTCTAGCAACATCCTCACCAGGTCCTTTTCTGGAGATGAGATGCGGAAAGAATGGAAACTCTTCCACTGAGGCAGTTCCTGCGCTACTGACTCTCCAGCTTTGGGCCTGTCAAAAGAAAACATGAACCGGTTTGAGTCGGGCGGCCACATTCCTTTCCGCAAGGGGGACTCAGGTTGCTTCTGTCGTCTGTGTGCTCAAGGTGTGCTCTGGGAGGGGCCTGTGAGCCAACAGTGACCTCATGGGGGAAGGAGGGGCCGGAGCAGTTGGCCAGGCGTCCCAAGGGTGTGGCTGGCTGAAAATCAGCCAGGCAGCCACTTTGGGGTCTCCCAGAGGGCGGCAAGTGCCAGCGAGGAGGAACAAGCCCAGCGCCAGGTGAGTGTCTGGATACCTGCCCCTAGAACCCACCTGGGCTGCCCTTCTGGGTGCAGGGATGCGAGGTAGGTCTGCCGGGGGAGACGGCACTGTCTCAGCACCCTGCAGGGACTCCCTGGATCTGAGGCAGTTCCTGGAAGGAGACTTAGCAGGGGAAACCCTCTCCTGAAATCTTCCATCTTGTTCCGTGTGTGTAAAGGCTGTCAGCATTTCTGTGTGATTTTATTTTCGGGAGTGTTTCTTATTTTATTGTATGGCTTGTTTATTTGATGGACATTTTTCCAGAACAAGACTGCTCAGAGGCATTTTTATATAATAATAATAATAATTTATTATTTATACCCCGCCCATCTGGCTGGGCTTCCCCAGCCACTCTGGGCGGCTTCCAAAAAAATATTAAAATACTGTAATACATTAAAAGCTTCCCTGAACAGGGCTGCCTTCAGATGTCTTCTAAAAGTCTGGTAGTTGTTGTTCTCTTTGACATCTGGTGGGAGGGCGTTCCACAGGGAGGGCGCCACTACCGAGAAGGCCCTCTGCCTGGTTCCCTGTAACTTGGCCTCTCACAGTGAGGAAACCGCCAGAAGGCCCTCAGCGCTGGACCTCAGTGTTCGGGTAGAATGATGGGGGTGGAGACGCTCCTTCAGATATACTGGACAAGGCCGTTTAGGGCTTTAAAGGTCAGCACCAACACTTTGAATTGTCCTCGGAAATGTACTTTTCAATATGTTTTAAAAAATGACAACAATCTTAAAAAACACAGGTGCGATGGAGCAGAGTGGCTGGAGAAACCCAGACAGATGGGTGGGGTATAAATAATAAATTATTATTATTATAGTATTATAATAATAATAATAAACTGCAACAAACCGATTTCATGGTTTACATGCAGCAGCATTTGAAATGACAACGGCAACTTCTAGCTCAGTTGGTAGAACATGAGACACAACCTCATGGTCATGGGCAAAAGATCCCTGAGGGTTGGACAAGATGACCCTCATGGTCCTTTCCAACTCTACAACTCTAAAAACATCAACATCTGAACGCCAGTTTGGTCAATACTGCAGGCAGGCTGTCACTGAAGCCAAAGTTTCCTCCCAACTGATTATGGGCTCCTGCTCAGAATAGAGTCCACCCTCCGGTATGTAAGATTTGCATCTTACAAATAAGAAATAGGCACAGAAGGCAAGTTAAAAATGAAAGGAATGATTAACCCTGATTTTTTATATATCCTGATTTCCTCTCCCCCTTCCCCCCCCCCGCCCCAAAGTTCAACTGGTGCAGTTTTCAGTCTCTTATCTCCCAGCCTTTCAGCACTGGGGGGATTTTAATTCTCCCTAATTCTATAGCCCCCCCCCCTATTTCTGGGGCTTCACCAAGGATCACACCCCACAAATGTCCTGACCCCACAAGTAGCTTATCCCTTGACTGATACATGCCAGGGACTCAGCTGTCCTGTCAGGGTCTGCAGCAGCCACATTGACATTTGAATGTTTAGATTAGCACTGCAGGCAGTTGTCCAAACTGGGTTGCCACATTTTTTCCCCTGGCCCTGCTCCTGTGCATTGTATAGCTACCCCACCCCTTAACAGGTATGGGAAGCCTCTGAATCTCAGGGTTATGGGTTCAAGTTCCATGCTGAACAAGATTCCTGCATTGAAGGCTACACTTCTATGATGCCTGACACAGAGGAAATCTGATGCTGTAAGTGGAGCTGTGGGTTAAACCACAGAGCCTAGGACTTGCCGATCAGAAGGTCGGTGGTTCGAATCCCCGCGATGAGGTGCGCTCCCGTTGTTCGGTCCCTGCTCCTGCCAACCTAGCAGTTCGAAAGCACGTCAAAGTGCAAGTAGATAAATAGATACCGCTCTGGTGGGAAGGTAAATGGCGTTTCCATGCGCTGCTCTGGTTCTCCAGAAGCGGCTTAGTCATGCTGGCCACATGACCCAGAAGCTGTACGCTGGCTCTCTCGGCCAATAAAGCGAGATGAGCGCCGCAATCCCAGAGTCGGTCAAGACTGGACCTAATGGTCAGGAGTCCCTTGACCCTTTACTTTTAAACCTTCACCTCTGGAGTGTGCGGTTAGGGTTAACACTTTCCCCATTCCCACCCTCCCTTGGACTCACTCTCCCTAAACTGCATAGCAAGCACTTTAGACAATCAACACAATCTTAATAATCCCCTTGCCTCGCAGCTTGGAGCAGGAAGCATCCTGTCCAAAGCTGTCAACCTTCCCTTTTTGCGGGAAATTCCCTTATTCCAGCGCCGTTTCCCACTGCTTCCCGCTGCTATCCCAGATTGTTAGATATCCCATAGACTGTCCCCGGGACAGTTGAGGCTGCTGATCCCTTATTTTCAAATCTGAAAGTTGACCGCTATGCTCCTGTCCCCTGGCAAGGGCATTGCTTGTGTGCAGGGAGGAAAGCACCCCCAGTTGAACTTTGGCCTGACTGTATTGGTGCGCATGAGCAAGCCAGGGAAAAACAGGCGGCTGCTCCCTCCCAGCCTTCCTCTCCCTTCTGTCTGCCACATTCGTTGACACTCTTCTTCCAAAGGGGAGCGGCAGCCAGACAACTGGTTAAAAGCAGGGAGAGAGATGGCAAAATATTGGTTTTGGCCACCTGCCCAACTCCTAAGAAAAGCTCTACAGAGTTGGCTGAGTTTAGGAGGAAATACTGCCCTTCCTGGTCAGAGAGAGGACCTATTTTCCCCGCTGCCTTCAATCCTAGAATCATAGAATTGTAGAGCTGGAAGGGACCTCAGGGGTCATCTAGTCTAACCCTCTGCAAGGCAGGAATCCCCGCACCAAGCATTCAGGACAGATGGCCATCCAAGCTCTGCTTCCAAACCTGCAAGAAAGCATTTCAATGAAAGGACTGGAAGTGGTGACTTTGAAGGCCTTCGTATGCCAACTTCCCTGTTTCCTTCCTTGAGTGCAGAGACTGTATTTTCCATGGAAGCAGGACTCTCTTTTTTGCACCACTTTTAATGGTTCTGTGAGACACGGAGAAAAAGGACAAGCAGGACATTCCAGTGTCAAAAAAAACAACTGGGATGGCTTTTGTAGTTCTGGAATTGTCCCCGGAAAAGCAGGGTCTGAGAGTTATATTGTTAGGCCATTTGACAGAAGAGCTCCTATTGCCTTAGCTGCTGTTATGTGTGGGGTTTGGGGTATGTGTGAAAGCACTTATCCCCGTGTCTTTGTAATGTCTGTAACAGTGATATATAATTTCTTACATATAAATGAAAAATACAACTGATGATTTTTCAACCATTTCTCCCCACACTCTTTCTTCTATAGAGCTGGGGTGATCTGCTGCTAGCTTGAAAGGCATCTCTCCCATTGATCATCCGGCTGTAACTTCTCGTCCTGTGGCTCCCAGGATCTTCCTGCTGGATTCCCATGGATCGCGGGCTGACTGTCGAAAACCCCTATGCCAGCGTGAGCCTCCCTCGTGCCCAGCTCCCAGGCAGCTTCCTGAAGTATTACCTGGGCGAGGGCTGCACCCCAGACACGGTTCTCTCCGACCCCAGCAGCTGCTGCACTTACTCGGTGCAGGAGAAGGAGTGGGAGGCCGCTCCACAGGGGGTGCCACCCAACGCCCCCTGGGGCACGCAGAGGATCTCGACGCAGGAATCGTGGGCCCAGCCCTACAACCCCTATGCCAGCCTCAAGATGCCCCACCAGGGCTCTCCACAACCCTTCCACTGGAAGAGCCAGCAGGAGGGCTGCTGCTGCTCCTGTTTCAGAAAATGCTGCCCCTGCTGCTGCAGGAAATGCGCCTGCGTCATCTCCTAACTCTGCCGGCGTTCACTGGGGGTTGCTCCCAGTCTGCTCTCCAGGTGTCTCTCTGCAGGCACACTTGAGGGCGCAGAGTGGGGCAGGAGCTCTCCCTGGACCCCTTTTTCTTCTGCGTCTCTGAACTGGAGGTGGGTCAGGTGGATGGGGAGGCAGGGAGTTGCTGGCTACTTGGGTGCCAGAATTGAGGGCCTCGGGGCCAAAATTGGGCCCTCTAGGGCTTTGTAAGAGCACCCATCACCTCAGTCCTTTGGAGGCAGAGGTTGCCAAACCCCAAACCTGTGGAAAGGCTGGTCTGGGGCAACTGGTCGCCAGGGTTCCCTTTCATTATGGGCCAAATCAGCTGCTTCGAGGGGGACTCTGCCTCCCCTTCCGCCTCCTCTCTTCCTCTCCAGCACAGACTCGTTTTTTCCACATTCCCATGAGCTTTCTGCTCTGTTCTTCCCTTATCCGAAGTGAAAGGAGCTGCTGTGGTTGCCTTTCTGGGCATGAGGTGACAGAACATTCCTAGGACTCACACACCAAAGAAAGCTTTGTGGGCCAAAGCAGCTGTGCCCTTGAGCCTCCATTGGCAGCGCCACTCAGCCTCAGCTCCCCATATTTGGTGCACAGTCTCTCTCTTCCTCCTCCTCTGCCACTGCAAAGGCTTCCTAGTGTCCCTTGGAAGTAGGGTGGCCGTCTGCGGGAACTGGCTGCTTTGTGGAGGGCAGGGAGCCACACACCAACTGCCTGGTGTCACAAGGCTGGGAAATATATTCTGTTGCCAAGGAAAAGAACCCCAGAGGATCCTGACCGTTGCCTGGGTGCTGTGCTCTTAACGGTTCATAATAAAGAAACAGAAGACAAAGGAAAATATATCCACTATTCTTCTTTTTAACTCTTGCACATTGAAAGCACC